GAGAGAGAGAGAGAGAGAGAGAGAGAGAGAGAGAGAGAGAGAGAGAGAGAGAGAGAGAGAGAGAGAGGAGGGGGGGAAGGGGGGAAGGGGCGCGGGAATTGGTATTAGGAGTTCACGTTTGTAGTTACTAAACCCTATAAGTCTCAAAGTCTGAGCCTTGACGTGTGAGCCCCTAAGCTTGAGGCGAACAGCCTAAAGAGCTTCGCTCGAAAAGAAGATCAATCCATGAATAAAAACTCTTGGCCCTTGGGTCAATTGAAAAAGCGTAAAATTTGAACTCTAAACCCTAGACATAAGTGCCTGAATCTCATCCCACAAGCCCTAAACCCTAAACCTAAGTGCTGACATCGTAGCCTGCTAGTCCTAAACCCTAAACCCTACGCAAGAAGTACAGAATTAGGAGTGCTTCTGGGTAATGTTGTCACAAACATTATCCAAATGAAGCCTTCCACCCCTCTTCATTTCAACAAACTACTTTTCCACCCCCACCCCTCTCCTCCCAACCCCCCCTTTTATGATCCAAATGAAGCCTACCACCCCTCTCCTTTTCAACAAGCTACTTTTTGTGCAGGGTTTAGGGTTGAAGTGCATGAAATGTAGTTTGTTGAGAGGCTAGGGGGGGAAAAAAGGTGTTGGACCTTGGAAAGAATGAACTATTATTATGGGTTTAAACTTAAAAAAATAAATTGGGAGTGGATCGTTAGTTTTCATTTTATTGAGCATCTGCAGTTCATGCAGGCAAAGGCCTGACCTGATAATCCGTTTTCTTTTTCTTTTTTCTTTTTTCTTTTTGTCTCCCTCCTTCAAAGCCCAACGAGGCTTCATTTGGATCTTAAAAGGTGGGGTTGGGTGGAAAAGGAGAGGGGTGGCGGTGGGCAAATACCTCATGTTCAGCTTCTTAAACCACCACCAGTCCATCCGAAGTGAAATTTACGAACCAGAAAATGCATTTTGCTGCCCTAAAAGCGACCAGTACCGGCCGTTGGAAAAATAAACATGGTACCCGTACTGGTGGCCTGTGTATTATTGAAAAGTCTGATCTAATATTCCGTTTTCCTTTTTCCTCCCCCCGCCCCTCCCTCCAAAGCCCAATGAGGCTTTATTTGGATAATTAAAAGAAAGAGGGGGGGGGGGCGCAAAATTGACGAACCCCCCAAAAATGCATTTGGCCGACCCCAAAAGTGACCAGTACCGGCCGTTTGAAAAATCAACATGGTACCCGTACCGGTGGCCTGTGTATTATTGTAAAAGTCTGGGCCTCCCAAGGACATTTTGGGGCCTGAAGTTGCTGTATATCCAATGCTCAGCCAGCCCTGGGCTGAACGGCCCAGGGGTGATACTCGTATGCGAAAACGGATGAACAGTAATGCTGGAAGTCTTTAGATAACCATTGTCAAACTGACCAGCCCAGTTCTTAGGTAATTCAGAATTTCAGTCTCTTTAGTTCCATCTGTATTTGAACTCAGGTCTGTATGTCAACAGCTCATGTGTGTAGCAACTGTGAATAATCCTAAAAACTCTTTGCTTTCCTTTTCCTTTTTCCTCTCTTTTTGATGTCGTCCGATTTCCCTCTTTTCTTTGTGATTTTGCGGTATCTTCTTCTTTTTCTCACTTTCTATTTAGCTTCTGCCTATTGGGGGTAACCTTGCTCTCCATTGGGGGCTTGTGCTCGCTGATTCTCATACACACACGAAGCTCATTTCGAACAATTTCTTGGCCTCCTTTGCCTCCGAGTTCTCTGCGTCCAGTCTTAACTCCTTTGGTGGCTGATGGCATGACATGTAGACTGATTGATTGGACAGAGAAAAGTGCCCTGCCACATTGTGTCAGGGCAATACCCACCACCCTCATCTTGTTGTAGCATCCTTTCATCCTAGACCCCATACCTTTCAGCTCCCCCTGTGCCTTCCCTGTTCTTTCCTGTCCCCCCCTCCCTTCTTCTCCACACTCTCGACTTGCGGTAAGATTATCCCAGAAAAGCCTATGAATTGATAAAAGGGATGGGGATATCTAGGTTGCTGGTAAGTTGCAGAGAAGAGGGACGGAATGGGTCCTGACAAGTGCAGGAGCACCAACACAGCCAAACCAAGTGTGCATCGGGCAGAGCATCTTGTCACAGCAGAGCACATCTGGACATCAAACCAGTAGTGTTCTTAGCCTGTCTCTTATACACATCTAGATGTGTATAAGAGACAGGAGAGAGAGAGAGAGAGAGAGAGAGAGAGAGGTTATGAGCCCCCCCCTCCTCCACCAATGCAAAGGAAGGTTTGAATTGGAAAAGGAAAAGATGGAACAAAAAGGAATATAAAAATGATCAAATATGAAGAAAAGAAAACTCCTGACACCTGTCAGCTCGGTCTATGCTGTATGCGAAGCTGCCTCAGAAAACTGCATGTAACTATTTAGTCCTCGTGGGGGAAACCAGAAGTACGGAAATTACTTAACCACCCTTTTTAATGGCCAGGTGCCAGTACTGTCTTCAGCCAAAGAGTACGTATGGTCATTGTATCTGTATTGGGGGAATCTGGGGGCAACTTTCGGTCTAGATACACTGATAACGACCTTGTGTTCTGTTTGGGTGAAGAAGATTGTGCAACGTCTGTGGTAAGACAACATGGAGCTGGACCCTTTGCCGATCAAGTTACTGCTTTTGTAAACACAAGCATTGCACCTGGAAGGCCCGGCAGCTTTGATAACACGGAAGCGTGTACTTAGGAGTATGTGAGAGGAGTGCTGACTGTTCTTGGCTCCTCTGTGTGTGTTTGCATGGGTTTGGAATGATGTGGGGTTTTGCAGGGATGTGAGAGATTCTCAGAGCCATCACTGGAGGAGCTGCGCGATCGACTTCAGCAGGAAATTCCTGGGGGAGGAGAGGCCTTGTCCCAGCAATTGCTAAGCCGTCTTTTCTCGTTCAACTGCCCTGACGATCTGTTCACCTTCTTTTTGGGTGGTCAGGGGGGGGTCAGAGGTAAAGACTCTTGCATACCCCCTTTTTGCAGAACCCTTCCATTTTGTTAGTGTCTAAATGAATGGTTATTTTGAAAAGGTTACTTCTGTTCAGGATTTAGTTTGTGAAATTCCGTTTCTATAGTTGCGTCTTAAGCTGATAGATTGGAACGACGACTTGGCTGGCGAGTACTACTACTATGCGGTTAGTGGGCAGCACAACGCGGCTGCTGTGAGGTCGCTGCTTGGCACCGAATCGGCGAAGAAATACAACTTCGAGCAATGGTCAGCACATACGCTGTACTTTTTGGACGATGACTTCGAAGGGTACACCCTTGTCGGTGCCCAAGACAATAAGAAGGTTTGTCAAGTGAAAAGGTGACACGTTCAGGGCGGGTTCTCAACGATCGTTTAGCAATCTGTAACAGAAAAGGGACTGTGCAGTATCATTGGCCAAGGGGAAGGTGGTTGCAACGTAGAGGCCCTCACCTTCATCTGCCCAAATGTTCCTCGATCCCCAATCGGAAGCTTGTTAATCCCCTTTTTTAAGTTTCTCCAAATCTACCCTCCTTGTTGGACCTTATGTACACTGAAGTCGTGTTAATTGATGCAGTTTAGACTCTTCAGCAAGAACATATAAATACGTATGCGTTGGCAAGAACACTGGTAGCATAATGGTCATCGATGCAGTCACAGATCTCTCTCTCTCTCTCTCTCTCTCTCTCTGTGTGTTTCTCTTTCTGTCCATGTCTGTGCAGAAGAGATTTTGCAGGAAATTTCCTCCTTTTGCTCCACACACACACACGTTTTGGATCAACGCGTCTGTGTGGAACAGGGGCTGTTGTGGTGAAAATCTACAACACACATGCACACACACAGATGTGGTCGGTGTGGTCGGTGCTTTTTGTTAGTGGAGCCTTTCGTGTTATGCTGTCTTGTGGTTTTGTGGGCCGACGTGGAGAGCTCTCCAAGTTTTTTCGGACCTATGGGGGATAGGGTTGGTGCTTTCTTGCTGGTGGAGTCGTCTGTCTTAGGTAAGTTGCCTCTTGCCGTCAACCCTTTTATGGATCAAATAAATGTATGTATATATGTATATGTGCAAGTGTGCCGCTTGGCGGCAGACGGGTGTGTGGGCACTTGGCGCTGAACCACACAAACGTGGCCTCCACCCTTTTATGGATCAAATAAATGTATCTATATATGTATATGTGCAAGTGTGCCGCTTGGCGGCTGTGGGCACTTGGCGCTGAACCATACAAACGTGGCCAACCTTGCATTTTCTATTATATTGCCTATCTATACTTTTTCGTTATGGATTGCCTATCAAACAAGCGCAGACTGCCCATGAAAGCAAAAGACTCAAAGAGAGAGAGAGAGAGAGAGAGAGAGAGAGAGAGAGAGAGAGAGAGAGAGAGAGAGAGAGAGAGAGAGAGAGAGAGAGAGAGCTGGAAGCTTCTATTTCACTGTATTGTTGCTGTTGGCCTCATCTATGGTTCCGTGGGATGGGGCTTGGTTTACTGTTTTGAAATGTGTTTCAGATCTTCTTGCGCCTGTGAGCCCTACTGCCAGCCCCGAGGCAGACAATGAGCGACTTCATGTTGATTTGACAAGCACTCTTGGACAGTTCCTGCGCCGGTCTCTTCTTGATTTCAATGCACTCTCATTTGAGGTGGGTTTTCTTTGCAATGATGCTGAAGATATTCCAGAAGTATAATGCCTTAGGACTGAAGAAGCCGGAACTGTGAAATGCATAATTGACCTGCCATTCTTTCGAATCCCTGCTTGACTTTAATGCATTTTCATTCGTGATGCTTTTGCTGAGCAACATCACGTTGGTCATTCCCCGAACCTCCAGCCTTTATTCATCTCTACAGGGAAAATCTCCGCTTCTGAATTGTATCCATTTGTTGAGTGCTTTTCTGTTGAATCACAGGTATGACGAGATAACACACACACACCTATCTCTATGTTTTCAGCCTCCTGACGAGGTGGCGAAACTTCGACGAAGCAGTCTGTGACAGCCCGTTGTTTCTTATCCTTTACTCCCTTTCTGCCTGCAGTTCAACAGGCAGTTCTCTGTGACTATATGTAGATAGATGGATGGATGGATATATAGAAATAAGAGAGAGAGAGAGAGAGAGAGAGAGAGAGAGA